TGACATACGTAACGCAAATGGTACATTTGTAATCCTAAATTATTTTGTGAAACAATTTATTTAATTTTAAAAGTGAAAATGGATATCTATTATTCTATTAAATTTATAAAAGTAATATCGAAAAACGAAGAAAATTATAAATGGAAATTATTTTATTACAGAAAGTAGTCCTTACAACTTAAAATGCTCTTAGTAATAAAAAATATAGGAAAACAGACAGAGTTTTATGATTATTTATTAGATTCCATCTTTTAGAATCCTCGTGTGGATTTTGGCTAAGAACTAGCATTTAATTAAATAGATTCCAAAATGAGTTTATTATGATGCTTAATATTTTCATACTAATTTATTGTAATAAAATAGGCCCAGTTCTGTTACACTGGCCCCAAAATTTATGAAATATAACTTATTACTAGCCAGTTGTGGAAACGAGTTGTTTGTGAATTTGTACGTTCGGCATCATTCGGGTGAAAATCGAAACTCCTTCGGCTCGATACGTTTGCGTTTTGTACGTACGTAAAGGCACGTAAACATACGTATCACGTATCCGTAAACGCAAGTGAATTTCTCACTGCGCAAGCGTACATGTCAAACGATACGTTTACGTCTACGTCTTTGGCCGTGCTTTAACTGTCTAATAACATATTTTCTGACAACGATTATAGATTTTCGGGAATGAAGATATAGTCTCTATATCAGAAGAACCTAGTTCTGCACTAGTCTGCGAATGATATGTATTCGAACAGCGAATTTTTGCCACTTATACATAAATTTAAAAATAAATCCCTGCGTTTAGCGGTCTTATGGATTCACACGAAATTACTTCAAAAATCGGTTCAACATTTAAATTGATGAATAGATATTTTTATATAGTTTTATAAAATTTACAATTATTTTTCGATTTATGATCTGTTATCGAAATATTTTTTATAGTTTTCTAGGACAGATTTTTATAATTTTTACAGTTATTTTTTGATTTATTATAAAGTTTCAATAAAATTATTTTTTTGATTTAAATCACATGATTAAAATTTAAAAAATCACTTGATTTAAATCATTTGATTTAAATCATGCCAACCCTGCTTTAAATGGTCTAAAGATTTAAGAAAATGCTTTATAAAGATTCAAACTAACATATCTTGTAAACAATGTTTACAAAAAGCATAAAAGAAGAACACGAATATTATGCTCGTTTACAGAAGTATCTCCATGGACTATTTCCTCTGTAATAGCTTTTAACGATGATACGGTGATGGCTAACAGATGGCTCTGCGGAAAGACCAATTAAACATAAATTCTATCACGTCGCGTCACGGGCGTAGTCATCGCGGCGCGATGGGTGGGTCTCCACCCCTCCACCGCACCCCCTGCGATTCACTCCACAGAATGATCCTGTCCTCGGGGGATGGATTTAATTTATTCAGCTCAGAGTCTTTTGTGAACTATCGAAATGTCTCTCTAGTCTGGCTAGTCTCTATTTAGGTTGTATATGTATAGGGACAATGAAAGATATATATTTTTTTATTATTAACATACAGTGTTTAGAAAAAGTCTGTAAAGCGTCGAATTTTTTTTTATTATTACATAGACGTTTTTGAGGATTTTTTGACGCCCCTTTACCACTGGTGAGATGCCGTGATATTTAATCCCCCCTAATCTTTCGTGAGTTCTTACAAATCTTTTCAATATTCTTCTTTCAAGATTCTTTAAATAAATCCTTTAGATTGATTTAAAAAAACACAATTTTCTTTATTATTTTTATTAAGGCTAGTAAAGGCTACTACTTGAGATTGTTCAGATCAGAAGTTTAATTCCCAGTGATAACATTAAATAATATTTAAATGGGAACTACGAAAAATAATAGGAAATAACCAATGTAACTCGAAAAAGTAGAAAATAATCAATGTATTTAACTATTCTAAATAGTATATTTTCCACTAAAACAAAGAAGAAATCAATAATTAATTACTAAATACTACATAAAGAAAATTTCGATAATTTAATTGAAACATAAAGTCAGAAATGATATTTAAAGTAAAATAACGGGTTTATCAAAAATTCATAACTTTAAATAAACATTTGCATGCTCACTATTCTATAAATAGATTCCATTAAATAATAATAAATATTTACGAAATTTTTGACGACGAAAATACTTTTAAATTTAAATAAAACCAGTTTCTTAGCTTTAAAGCTATTAATTATAAGCAATTAGTCTAGAATTTTAATTGCTATGAGACACTAGGAGCTTTAGACATTTGTTTACATTAAGAACAATAAAAAAATAATTAGTTGCAATTAGACTGTTCTGAAATAATGTTTAAAAAAGAACTAGCCTGTAAAACTTCGTAAAAACAGTTATATTTTGTTTTTTGACATTAATTTCAGTATCATACGATCGAAAAAAAAACAGCGTCATAGATGGCTGAGGAATGACAATCGATGATAATTTTGGCGAGGTCTAGGTATATTGTGTAAAATTGATTTTTCAATGGAGTAGTTTAAAATTCGACAAAAATATTTTTTTTGAAATAGATTTGTGTAGCTGGAAACAGTGGAAACGTTCTATCTTTTTTTTAATTTTTCTATAATTAGTGTTAATTTTCGACAAGTTTCATGTCAATCTTTGATAAATGACGTCTAGAGATTGACCGCGCTAAAATCATCATCGATTGTCATTCCCCAGCCGTCTTTGATGTCGTTTTTTTTTCGATCATTCGGTACAAACCTATTATTGTGGGATAATAATCCATGAATTGATAAAAATCTTCTATGAATAGTATTTCAATTGGAATCAATAAAATTATACTGGTAGTTAATGAAAGTACTTAACATAAAAACACAATAAACATGTAATTTTGATAGGTATTCATGTTTATAATCATGTAATTACAAGCCCACATCATGTAAAACATCAATAAGACAGAATTTAATAATCTCCATGAATAGGTTTTCAAAAAAATATATTTTCAGTTGACTTACATCTTTAAAAAGTTCCAAAAATATTGAAATTAAAACTTCAAACAAATAGAACGCATGTAAATTTGAAAACTTGATACAAATATTTACAGAATTTCATGCAATATACAATGTATATGTATAGTGTTATGCGTTTGAAAAATAAACAGAAAAACTGTTTTGTTTTGAACCAACTGGAACAAGACTAATTTAAAAACACAAACACGCTATGAAATTATTGCATTTAAAAATTACGAATTCTGAAATTCGTGCATAAACAAGGCTATCTATAGCATCATAGATGTAAACAAAATTGTTAATAAGAAGATTAGAAGTCCTGATAATCATACAGAAGAGATACTTTCTTATGTGGTGAATATTTGTCATGATTATCATGGAAAATAGAAAATGTATAAAAAAACAGAGCTTTATTTTACAAAAACATAATCATGCGGCATGTTAAAAATGTTAATTTACATCGGTAGATCACTCAAAGTTAAGCAAACTTCGCATTTCGTAAATCCTGTTTTGATTACCTTATCAAGAATTTTTTGGTCGAAATTTGAAAAACCAACTTCATTTTGTTGAATATTTTAATGGTTATGTTGTCACATATCTTCTATATCAACATTGTTCGAAAGTACCCACAGGCCATAGGTACCTATTATTATCTAGCTGATCAATATTTTCATTTTCGGTGCTCTCGTGGATGTGATTATTATAAATTGTTTGGCTTTTTATTTTGTTATGATTACTTGCGCTTTATAAATAAAAGTCTGACCAACAATCCATTACAGTGACAGTTGTGCCTGTCATTTTTATTCACAAGTAAATTGTATTTTCTGTCATTTTTTGTCTCTCCCTTGACTTTTTGGGCAGATGCAACGGATACATTAGTTTGGATATGTACAAATCTTAGTAGGTACAAAGCCAAAAGAGTTGGTATACTTAACACTTTTTCAACTGCCTTTAATTTCCCTTTTAAAGTAAAGTCTCTGTTCTTCCCACCAGTCAGGGAAGAACATTGTCAGACGTAATCCAAACAATGACAGAAAATATAATTTACCTGTGAATTAAAATGGCAGGCAACAACTCAGGTAGATAGGTATTCTCTCTTTAGACAAACTTTACATAGGTAGGTACCTAACTAAATACTAAATCGATTCATTTATTTTTCGACGAAGACGAAGTCCGGGTTTTAGACCTCACTTGTCTGGAATTTTCAAAGAGTTGTATGGAAACCCTAACTATGTCTAAATTTACAGTCAAAAACAATAATTGAGGAAATCAAAATCTATTAAAAATTACATAAACCCTTTATAGTAGGCCACTGGTAGGCACCTATTGTTTTACTACAAATCAATAATAATTATTGTTAACGAAAATTAATACCATAATATGATTGAAAAAAACGGCACCCAGTTGGCTAGGAAATGACTATCAATGACATTTCCCATATAATTTTACATATAAAATGACAGCGATCTTAATTTCATAGCCATCGCGGACGACGGTTTTTTTTTCGATCATATTAATATTTATAAACAAATTGAATAGAGCGAATTATCTAATTATATAAAAAACTGATTATTTACTGTAAAAGAGTAATATCACAGTAATATTGACCAAAATATATACCTAAAATGCTTAGAATTTATTTATATAACAACTGTCAATAACAACTGTAGAAAATCCTATTTTTATCGAATAGAAAAATTGAACAAGAAAAGAAGAGTATTTAAAAACTGTGTTTATTTTCAAAATATCAAAGCTGGATATTTATTATCGTCAAATAGACGTTAAATATTCTGAAAAATATTCAACTGTCAAAAACTGATACAATATCCCCGATAAGCCAAACATGGCGGCTCAATTTGCGTCCCATGGCAAACAACAAATAAAGCGATACTTTCAGGGCTAAAAACTAACTTTCTCTCACTTCCATGACTTAATATGTACCTTATTTCATCGTTTGAATATATTCCGCGTTATAAAAACTCTAAATATTATCTAAAAAAGCCCGGAAATATCGAAATTCTTACCTCATATTTGATGCCGGCTAGCCTCAACCAGGATTCGACTTTCAAACAATAGGGGCTCATCGAGGGTAGGAGTGGCGTACGCGAAAACTGGTACAGATACACGATATCCTTTTCGAAATTGGATTTGTGCACGACGACTTTAGGGGGCGCGGGTTCTTTTTCTTTGGAGGCATCGCCCGCTCCAGCTTCTTCTTTCTTCGCCTCCTCCACCTTAGGAACCTCTTTTTCCTCCTTTATTTCTTTGGTTTCGGTAGCGGGTACGTTATTTTCGACTTCCGCGGCCATTTTCGTCGGCCTCGTTACGATTATAAAACCTCCTGAATAAGTAATAGACAACTTGAAAGAAACACAAGTATCGCGGGTTGCACAAAACACTACGGAGATGCTACTCGTACCACGCTGCGGCGATGTGAGAGAGTCGTCGAGGTTGGCGTTGAAAAAGAACGCTCGCTGACAGAACAACGCGGCGTTGCCGGTTGTGGGAGGGGGTGAAAACGATTTAGGGAAATTCCTGGATAAGATTTCTGAAATGTGGTTCTTAAGGTGCGTTTACACGAATGAAGTAAACTAATAACTGCTCAAGTCACTTGAGTTCATTTCGTATGAATGTAATATGGCCGTATAAACTGAATGAAATTACTAATGAGTGTCTAGCTAGGGCGTGATACACTTTCTATCAATTCTATTGCCAAAATTTTGGCAGTTTGAAGTACGGCTTTACGCACTGTCGCCATTTTGAATCAACTAGCAGAAGCTTTTTAATATGAAATATGTAAACTCGGAATATGCTTTCAAGTCAGTTGAACTCATGTTGGATACATTCAATTACATGGATACATTCAATTAACTAGTTTTAACGCCTTTAAATACTATAGTTAACAATTCGTCACATGTGTGTCACGGAGACTACGAGTATAAGGAGATGATTATAATTTTCTTCGAGAGATCTTTGGTTAAAAAAAGTAGTAACGTTTAAAAAACTGTAAGGTTCTGTCTACACTAATAACCAAAATATCAAACCCTCATTGGCATATTGGCAACCAAAATAAACCCTGTATACAAATTTATGATTGACATTCTCAAATACCCATCTTAAGCGGCGTTTACACAATACAAGTTTTGCTCGTTTGCGAGTACTTGCAACTGAACATTTTAAAATTGTATGTTTACACTAGTCAAGTTATTGTGCAAGAACTATGGATACCACAGAGATTTTTAAATGTGGTGTAAATATTTTATGTCATACGTTAAGTGATGAATTGCGTACTTTGTTAAAAAAAAATCAAAAAACAAGAGTATGGGTAAAACCATGGATAAATCTGAAGAAAAACTGTTTATCCCAAAACTGTTTCAGAAGCAGCATCTCATAATTTTATTTCTATAGTGTACACTAAGGTGTACTCTTCTATCGATCTACAAACATTTGCGCTTTTCGTAAATTGTTAAAAACCTCATAATTTGGTCGTGAGACAACCTGCTTGGGGCCATTTTTTCGTGCAACTGCTACTGCAAGAACTTGACAACGTGATTACATGTAAAATTTTCGCTCTGCAAGTACTAACGTGCAAGAAAAGTAGACCGTCAATCAACTTTACTTGCAAAGTAATTTTTCTTGTACAATCAGTTGAGCAATTACTTGAAACACAGTTTACATTAAGCAAATACTTGCAATCAAGTTCTTGCGTAAGCAAAACTTGCATCATGTAAACGTAGCTTTAGACCAGATAATATCAAATAATCTAAAATCCTGATCATACTTATTTATAAAAACGCGTGACAACGCCGCTTATAACTTTTTCAGTTCTTCAGCGGCCGCTCTATGTTGCTCGCTCCCCACCCCGACGCTCGCTGTGCACATGCAAGAGCCCCACCCTTCCTTTAGCAACGTTGCCGATGTTCGTATTTTTTCTTCGACCCTCTTAAAAATTATGGAAAACCATCAAAATATCGAAAATTTCGGCGTTTTTCAAATAGTAATGTAACATTGTTACAAATAATGAGGATTAATATAAAAGATAGAGTTATTTGATCCCTAAAATTCTAGTTAAATATGTAAAAATTGATTATAATATTTATAATTTGTTGTTGTGTTTCTGTAAGTTGGGGAATGATTATCAGCGGGTGGTTGATTCAATAAGTGTCGCCTTCTGGCGGGCGTTGACCTAAACATTCACGGACGAATTCAACATGGGAAGAGGGGGAAGAGAGTCTGATACAGGGATGTTAAAAAGTATCGATATTTTGAGTATCATCTGGCTATATGTATAGGAAAGTATAATAAAATATATATGATCTGAGATAAGAAATCCCCATGTAAATTTTAAGGATATCGTTTATTGGCTTCCCTATTGATTCTAGAAGAAACTTTTAATCGGCGATTGGTAGTCCATTTTGAAGAAATTTTTATAGATTTCTTGTAAACATATGAAAACTTTAGTTTTAGAAAATTTTAGAAAACCAGGTCGTTGATATTTTCGAAAAAAGATTATTTGAAAATATCGATATCTGTATTTTTAAACGTATCGATATTTTGTCTAATCGACACAATTCCACCATCCGTAGCATGATTCTCCAGGATTTTTATCCAGTCATCCTATTTTTAGACTTTAATTTCTTAATAGGCCTTTATTCTTAAAGTAATAAAACTAAATTATCCGCAAAGATATATTTATTATCAACTGCAATACATATTTCTTATATATTATAACGTTAAACGTAACGTCTTTATAGGAACAAAACGAGACAAATTATAAATAATAAGCTAAAATTATTAAAGAAAATTAACAATCAAAAAGTGAAATAAATTAAGATTCCTAAAAGATAATTTAATTATTATTTATTACTATAATAACGCATTATTACCAAGCAAAATATATACCGTGTGATTAAAAAGTTTTTCAATAAGCTTCAGTGGTTAAACTAACAAGACACGAGTTATGTATGACTGATCTAAAAAAAATATTTAAAAATGTTAGTTATATTAATTTAGTAAAACTTATATAAAAATCACACGGTATATTACCATATATTTTAATGGCATAACTTCAAAAATAATTTTGAATAAACTATAACTTATGAAGGAAAGAATTCAAAACAAATGCAATAAACCAAAAAAATAATTAAACAAATTCTGAAAGAAATCAAAATTTTACTGAAAAAATTGCGAATCATTAAATGAAAAATGCTGAAGTCGAAACACTTGAGTTAAGGCTTCGTTTAGACGATCATAGTCGATATCTCTAAAAAAATGTTAGAAATAATATACATTATACCAATTATACCTATTAATTTGTTAGATCGTTATACAGGGTGCCTCTTATACGACGCGGAAGCTCCAAGGAGAACGGTTAGTTTATATCGAAATGTAACTATGGGTGTATATTACGAAATGCAACTATGGGAGTTACTTGAAAGCATTTTTTAAAAATATATAGAGAGACAGATACAGGGTGTCTCTAAAAAAGTTACGCATCAAATTTGTTTTTTTTTTGGAACACCCTATATATTAATTGACTTTTGGATTCTAGGAAAAAAAAATGAAGGGGAGTTTCATTAAAGAAGCATATGCCTAAAATGAAGAATAAACTTTAAATTTCAAATTTCAATAACAGCTACCTAAATTGTAATTTACCCTGTATAGCCTAATATTTAGTTAAAATAACCATTGTATATAAAACCAAATTAAAATTTGACCCGAAAAGTTACACAAGGTGAGAAAATTAATATTGAACATTGGTCACTTTAAAAAGCTACTTACTCCTTTGTTGTAAATGGAACACCCAGTAAGTATATTATTCGGATACTCAATGGATATTTCATATATCTTCAAAATACTATTAAGGATCCCTTAGACAAAGATTTCTCCAGATATTTTCATTTTTATGATTTTGCGTTAGCAGATCTTATATACTTCTCTAATGAAACTCGACCTTATTTTTCTCCTAGAATTCGAAATCAATTAATACCGGGTGCGTCTCAAAAGTGGCTCACCCCTATAACTTTTTTATTTTTACAGTTAAAAAAACGAGACTTGGTATGTTAGTATATGACATAAATTAGGATTGATTGACGTATTCAATTGTTTTCGGTCACTTCCTGTTTCACCGGAAATGACTACAACTTTTGATTTTTAAATGACACTCTCGGTACTTTTTTATTTTATTCGATAGAAAATGACACTCTGAATAGAATGACATATCATATTTCAAATTTCATTTTGATACAAACTGTCTTTGTCCTTCGCTTCGTATGAGAGGCACCATCCTGTATTCTGTTTGACAGAAAAACAACTGTCACTGTCACTGTTGTATTATATTCGCTGGACAAACTATATATTTATACGTACAGAATTGACTTGGCATTGTGTCTGTAAACTTGTAATGCGTCCAATCTGTTCATAACAAAATCTCTTTCTTCCACTGAGCCTAATTGTAGCAAAAATACAGGGAGTGCCTTGTTTAAGTAAATCCCGAATAGGATTATTCTAAACAGAGAGAATCATTAAGGTAAGTTTATACCGGGTGTTGCATCGTCGAACGGGACATAGGAAATCCCATGTAAATTTTAATGGGGTCAATTATTGACTTCCCTAATTATTTTAGAGAGTAATTCTATTTAGGTTTATTGAAGAGCACTAAAACCCACATTCAAAAGAATAACTTTAGATATTTTTGATTAGCCCGTTTATTCTTATGGCCCTGTATTTACTTATGAGCACCAGTCAAGGTAAAAGATAACTGTCAAATGAAGTTGTCATTTCAGAAATTTATCTATTTAGTGCTTTTTTTATTATTATTAAAAACTCATACGTACATCGAAAATATTAGCCATGAATTACACTACCGAAGAAAAAGTATTGATGATTAAATGGTATTATCAAGGAAATAGTTATCAAAAGGTGTCGGACATGTTTGCTGCTCTGTATCCGAATAGACAAGGAATAGACCGATACCTGGAAAATCTACAATCGCAAGGAATATCCAGAGATTTGAGACCAAAGGTACCCTAATAAATAACTGCAGATGTGAAGCAAGGCAGGAACAAAGAGAAGATGCAAGAAATGATACCGACTTTTATTGTGCGTGGAAGTTTTATTGTGCGTGGAAGAGAACGATGGAAAGATCAGCACAAGGACTTGAGGATGAAACAGCAATAGATCACACTACAGCGTTTCGAATTTCGAAACGACATAAATACTATTCCTTCAAATATGAAAAGCACCAAGAGCTACGAGATGGAGACGAAATACGGCGGCAGGCGCTTTGTTTTGATATGATGGAAAGAGCAAACACGGATAGGGAATTTTTAAAAAACATATGTTTCACTGACGAATGCACGTTTACCTTAAATAATGAACCCAATGTTCAAAATTACCGATATTGGAACAAAGAAAACCAACACACCTTTGTCGAAACAAGGACGCAATATCCACAGAAAGTAAATGTTTGGGCAGGGATATTCGGACAGAATATTATCGGGTCATTATTTCTTACGTGAAATTTAAATGCAGAATATTATTTGAAACTACTCGAAAATCATATTTTACCTGCTTTACATGATGCCACTAGGGAAAATCAGGAAGTTTGGTACCAAATGTAGGGCTGCCCGGCACACAGTACCCTGGCTGTTCGGGAATATTTAGACAATAGTCTTAACGGAAACGTTATTGGCCTAAATCATACAGTAAATTGGCCAGCAAGGTCTCCTGATATTTCGCCAAATGATTTCTTTCTCTGGGGCCATTTAAAAAACAGGACATGCAAGTATCAAAAATACCCAAATCTAGACGAGTTAAAAAATACTATTTCTGCCGAATGCAATAGAATTTCAGTTTACCAACTAGCGAATGTAAGAAGAGAATTTTATGATCGCCTGGGTTATTATCTAGCAGTCGATGGAGGAATATTTGAACATCTTAAATCCTAAAGTTATAACAATTTAATAGTACCTAAATTAATAAGTTATTGAATATTGTAATAATACTATAATTAACCTTGTAATTGATTACTTTATTTTACTTTAATTCATATCAATTTGTATTTATAAACACATCTTTAAGATTTCCGATGTAGGAATGAGTTTTCAATAATAATAAAGCACTAAATAGGTAAATTTCTGAAATGACAACTTTATTTGACAGTTATCTTTTACCTTGACTGGTGCTCATAAGTAAATACAGGGCCATAAGAAAGGAGAAATATTTAAAAAGAAATCGGCGATAACTCGTAAACGGGCTAATCAGAAATATCTAAAGTTATTCTTTTGAATGTGGGTTTTAGTGCTCTTCAATAAACCTAAATAGAATTATTCTCCTAAATAATTAGGGAAGTCAATAATTGACCCCATTAAAATTTACATGGGATTTCCTATGTCCCACTCGACGATGCAACACCCGGTATGTATCCGTCATCCGTCGTTCCGTCAGTCCAATCATACAGTGTCACAGATAAAGTCCATATCATATGGAACTTTTTTATTTAATGATTTTGGGTGAAACTTTACTTCGGTGATAGTGACAGTTTCTGCTTTAATTTAGATGAAAAATCACTGAAAATTTAGCCTATTGCCCTCGGGCAAAGCCTCGGGTATCTGTCAAATTTGAGATTTAACGTAACAAATGGCTAAGAAATTGGTTTCCTGGTCGAATTCTAAAAACTTTATTTGAAAAAACGTGTTTCTTTTAACCAATACCTTTTTCTTAACCAATCGTGGTAGAAGCCAAAACAACTGATGTTAGTCCGTTTATTAGTCAAATATTTATCTAGTGATTACATATTCAGTTAGATTTACTGAATCTGCTAACAGTTTTTGAAGAAAAATGAAATTTGGTTGTAAAAATTAGACAAAGTGATGCAAAGTATGAATAACTTCAACATTTATCGAGATGGCATCATCAAATTCATGTTTCTACATGCTGGGAACTTATTTGCACGATACTATAAGTGTCAAAATGTATTTTTCATAGCCTACTTATAGAACTGTTTGGTTAGACATTGCCCCTATAATATGGTCTCTGATTAAATTAAAATGAAAGTATAACGAAAAATGGTTTAACTTACCACTATAGTGGGCCTAATTTTTAAACTTAAGTTGGGTAACTAAAGTGAAAAAAAAATGATTGAAAATCAATTAAAACAAATTTTGTTTTAAGTGTTTTGAAGAGTAATAAACTGTTCGTCCATACCTGTATAAAAATTACTGAGTGAAAAAATGTATGTACATTTCCATGATTTTTTATGTAAAAAATGTCTCTTGTGGTAAAAATCGCTACGAGCAACCGTTCGCAAGATATTTAGAATGGAAATACATCTCATTATTGACAAAAAAATAAATACGAGTAGATAGTTATTTGACTGAAATAATAAACTTGAAAAGTTTTTATTTTTTAAAAATAATCGTAAATTTTTCTTCGAAAAAATGACAGTTTCTGTTGAACTTTTGACACAAAAACAATTGTTTAATTTATGTCAATGACGACAGGTATTGTTAATTTCGATTCAAAATATTCCGAGAACCATATTACTCGTAGCGATTTTTACCAAGGGACCTTTTTTACGTAAAAAACCTCTTAATGTATATTCTTTTACTCAGTAGTTTTATACGAGGTACGATCGAAAAGATCTCTCAAACCAGTTAAAAAATTTGTAGATGCGCCCTCTACAAGTAGGAGTCATATTGACATCAAAATCAAATTTCTCATGGAAAAAAAATTCCTAGATACCAATTTTCATCCAAATACCTACGTTACTTCAGAAATTATTTGGAAAAAATCCAAATAAAAGTGAAACTTCTACAACATGTATCTCCGAAACTAAGCATTTTAGTACATACATTTATATGAACTTTTTTTACCTATTTTATCTGCAGAATATGCTTCTAAAATTTCCGGAATACAGTTCGAACCACCACCCTGTATATAAGTACTAGATAAATATTTGAATGACAAACAGGAAACAGGCTCCTATTAGTTATTTTTTTTCTGAGAGAATCTGCTGCTATTGGTTAAAAATTACGAAAAAAATTGTCACGCCTAGATGGCTGAAAATTGGTATATTTATATAAAATTAAAAAAGAAACAACTTTTTCAAATAAAGTTTCTCGAAATTCGGCTAGAAAACCTATTATTTATATAATTATTACTTTAAATGTCAAATTTGACAGTTACCCGAGAGCAACATGCTACATTTTCTTAATTCATTTTTTAATTTATATCAAAGCGGAAACTACAGCTGGAATCGAATTTCACCTAAGTCAATAAATAGGTAAAAAAGTAGTTCCATATGATGCGGACTTCATAAAAAACTGCATAAAATCAACTATGGAGGACGCATGACGAAATTACGAATGCATGTAAACCCGCACTAACATATTAGATTAATAGACATGCGCATGTGAGTGTCATATACCGGGTGTTTCAAATTCGACGCTCCTCAGCATTAGGATCTGGAAAATGGTAGTAAATAGAGGGTGGCTCAAGTCTCAAGTTAGGCCAAA